ATATCGGTTGACCATTCTATAAAATGGAAGGATTGTGGAGATCGTGAGAGCGATACATAGTAGCGGAAGGCAATGGGCATCCACGGCGATCAGACAAGGATGGAACATTCGTCTTCTGCATAGAGGCTCTCAACAGGGAAAGAGCGAAAAAGCACCAAGGCACAAACGTAAATCCTTGGTGAATGGATGGGGTAAGGCTAGATACGTGAGTAGCAGGAGAGGCCGCTGAAATCTGGTCACATATCGGTTTTTGATAAAATGAGGGCCCTGAATGTAGGCGAAGCAGAGTTCGACAATCAGCTCCCCAGGGAAAGTGATGAGACAAGGGTTTTAGATGGTTTAGACGGCTTTGAAGGGTGGAAATTCTTTTGGGGACTAGGGTTGGGGCAAATCAGCCCACTACAAAAATTGAGAGAAAGATGTTTTCAATAGTGATAGGAGTAGTATCGATATGCGAAAGGAGAAAAAGATCATGAGCTTGGGTAGCATTCTGGACAGTGACAATGCGCGTACCGCTCTTGAGAGCATAAAATGAAATATCTCTACCAACATGATGCAGGAGCACTTTGCCAATACTATGGTCAGAAAGATAGGCAGAAGAAGTCGGTCTTTAAGTAAAGAATTTAGTCCATTGTGTGGTCCGAAACTGAGCATGGAGAGGGAGTGCATGAAGTGTCGGTCGTTTCCGAGTAGAATGGGAAGGTAACGAAGGAACATCATCAGGAGATTGACGTTGGCGTTTAGGAGTAGGACTGGAGTTGGTCCGTCGTGAAACGGGCTGGCGATTCAAAAATTGCCGTACCGTAGAGGGAGGGGCCGGAAGCATAGTCAAAGGAGAGTGGAGGTCAGACAAATCGAAGGAGTCAGTCGTAGCCCCGGTACCTGAAGCGGGTGAGGAAACAGCACCAGGGGCATCAGGAGTGTCCGAAGAGTGGTCTAAAAACAAGGCAGGGTCAGAATGGGGTGCGGTATCAAGAAGGGGCCCGGGGATAGTGGGTTCATGGATTGGGTTCTCCATGGTTAGGTTACTCCTTTGCTTTTTGTTTTTAAGAAAAAAAAGAAGAAGAAAAGAAAATAAAAATAAAAAAAGGGGGGAGCGGGGAGGAATAGTTCCCAGGAGGAATGAAAGGGCCGGAAATCTCCCTCCGCGCCCAAGAGGACCTCAGCACCGCTAGTAGCGCAGATGCAGCATGGAACCCATGCCATACCCTACCCTTCATGCCAGTAAACCAGCAATCTGGGATAGCAACCTCACATCTGCCGAGCTACCTCGGTAGACAAGAGAGGGCGGCCGGATATCCGCAACAAAGCATACCTCCTTCGGCCACCACCCCCAGAATCCGAAAGGAGGCTTCAGAGATAACACCGTCGCCCGAAAGACACCCAAAGCTACACTCCGGGATACAGGAGAGGGATCGGGACATCCCCAGGCGATCTAGATTCCACGGCAAACTACGCCACCGCCAAGAACCTCAACAGAATGGGATGGACCCCGGTATCCTTTCCCCTACTTAGGAACTAGCGCGCCTGTGGGAGAAATCCCAAAGGCCAAAAAGTGGAAGGGCAAAAGGGAGGGGTGGGGAGGAGGAGGAGGAAAGGAAAAAGGGGAGGATGGGATAGGGAAGGGGGGATTGGGGGGTAATTAGGTTCGGTCTGAGGAAGGAGACCGACAGGTCTAATTCCTCAGACCAAGAGCCTCTTCACCACAACAAGGAGCCCCCCTTGAAGAGGGAGTTTTGTGGAGGATCTGCAGATGGTCCCTACTTACTGTCGTTATATTATCTCCTTGTTGTGATGAATGGTTTGAAAAACCGACAAGTTGAAGATTGAGACACTTATGCAGCATATGGGAATCTTTATTCAGGAAACGTTTCGCCACACAGTGGCTTCATCAGTCCAATACAAAGAGGAAGGCGTAAGGAAGGAGGGAGTATGAGGTAATCAGTCCCTCAACCTGGATTTGATGTGTTCGTCCATCAATCTGTAGAATGTACAGCATAGGGCCGTAGACGTGGCTTGTATACTTTTAGTGAGGTGAGGTGAAGCAGGCGGAGGCGGGGTCATAGTGGTACCATCCCCCCTAGTCGAAGTAGGTCTTCCGTCCAAAGGTTGAACAAGTGTTGAAGAATTCTTTGTAACAAGTCCCATGATGCTGCAGGGGTCTGACGTGACTGATGAAGCCACTGTGTGGCGAAACGTTTCCTGAATAAAGATTCCCATTTTGCTGCATATGTGTCTCAATCTTCAACTTGTTGGTTTTTCAAACCTTCATCACAACTGTCAGACACTGCAGCATCAGGGGATCTTGTTACAAAGAATTCTTCAACACTTGTTAAACCCTTTGGACGAAGACCTACTTGACTAGTGGAGGGTTTCCCACTATGACCCCCTTCCGCCTGCTTCACCTCACCTCACTACAGAAATATAAGCACGTCTACGGCCCTATGCTGTACATTTTTACAGATTGATGGACTGAACACATCGACTCCAGGCTGAGGGACTGATTACCTCATACTCCTCCTCTCCTTACGCCTTCCTCTTTGTATTGGATGATGAAGCCACTGTGTGGCGAAAACGTTTCCTGAATAAAGATTCCATAATGCTGCTTTAAGTGTATCACTCTTTATCTCCTTGTTCCTGATTCTGTGTTGCTGTTGCTTGTTATATTGCTGTTCGGCTTAACAGTCGTTTTAATGTTCAAGCAAGCTGTTCTGATTGCCAGGTTGGTCAAGAAGTTAGTTTATGTGAGGACTTTTAGTCAGTCATTTGCTTGAGTCTAGTCGAGTCTTTAGACACAGCGAACTACTTGAGCGCTTACACACACACACACACAACAAACTTACTTATATATATATATATGTATTATGTTATTAAATGTTAACAATGTACCAGACGGTGCTTAAAAGCCATTAAGATGTGATAAGTACCTTCAACACAATACTACTGTACACGAGAGAAGTGATTATTATGATTACTATAATTTACGTTGATCTTATACGCCTAGACGACTTTATTATTAATAAACTTATTAAATTTTAATTACTTTAGTGAGTAGCCTACCAGTTGTAATCCTGAAGCACTACTGAATCTTACTGAATTCTAATGGATAATTGGACCAGGATACTGACTGCTTGTTACAAAAACCCAGTAACAGGCTGGATGCTAGAAGGGCAGTCCTTTCTAGTATTCACTGGAGATCTCTGACATTATTAGATATCGCATTTTTTGTAACAATTACCTTCACAAAAAAATCCTCTACCATTTCATAAGAAAAATAACAAAAAATTCTTGGACCCTTTGGACAAGTTTCAGATTGGGGGTCTGGACCATGAAAGGGTTAGTAATACAGTGGACCCTCGGCTAATGATATTAATCCGTTCCAGAGAGCTCATTGTTAGATGAAATTATCGTTAGCCGAATTAATTTTCCCCATAAGAAATAATGGAAATCTAATTAATCCGTTCCAGACAGCCAAAAGCATTAAAAAAAAAAAATTTTTTCATGAAATACATGTATACATTTCCCTACAAAGAAAACAATGAGACATGTGCAATAACTATATAAATAAATGTTAAAATGACACTTACCTTTATTGAAGAGTATTGATGAGACACTGTTTTTCTTGAACACTGGGATTTTCAGGTGAATACTGAGTAAAGGCTTCACTTTACAATCTCCACTAGCATTACAACAAAACAAGAAAGTTAGTCTGTCTTTCATAGGCTTGTGTCCTGGGAGTGCCTTTTCCTCCTGAGTAATGTAGGTCCTGTTTGGCATTTTCTTCCAGAACAGACCTTATCACACTGTGTATGCCACTATGATTCTTAAATTTCTCAAACCAACCTTTGCTGGCCTTAAATTCACCAATATGAGCACTAGTTCCAGGCATTTTTTCCTGTTCACCTGGGTGTTAGTCGACTGGTGTGGGTCGCATCCTGGAGGACAAGATTAAGGACCCCAATGGAAATAAGTTAGACAGTCCTTGATGACTCACTGACTTTCTTGGGTTATCCTGGGTGGCTAACCCTCTGGGGTTAATTGTTTCTCATTAAGCCACACCAACAACACTCCACATCTTCGAGTAGTACAGCTGACGGTGGTACAGCAACAGCTGACCGTGGTACGATACTATTTTGATAGTATTTCTCACCCTTATTACTACAAGGTTGGCACTAGAAGTTTTCTTTGGGCCCATGGTGGCTTATTTAGCAGTTACAAGCACTAAAAACAATGGAATAATACAAAATGTATAGAACCGGCCACCCTGGTTCATAAACAATAACGGCAGGGCAGCTGAGGCGCTCAGGCTGGATGGACAGGTTCGAGACGAATCACATCGGTTGAGTTTTTCATCGTTGGCCAGGCCAAAATTTTTACGCTCAAACGCTTCGTAGGGCGGATTTATCGTTAGACGATGCTTTCATTAGCCGAGGGTCCACTGTGCTAATTCAAGCACAAAAGCAGAGACTCGACAGAGATCAAACACCTATTGGCCAATTTCTAATTTACCATTGTCCATTTTTTTTAAATAATACTTAAAAATGTATGAATTCATTAGTGTAAAATTATAAATATATTACCTTTGAAAAGTTTGAATCGACCAACAATTTGCACGCTTGGGACCATTATTTACTCTATGGAAAATGAACAATTTCTTGCCTCTTTAATAATCTTCAAGGCCCTTTTTTAAACCAGTCAAAATCATTCAATCATTATGCTGATTTATAAAATAACAAAAATATGAATAAACATGTTCTACATACAAAATACAGATGCAACATGTTTATTCAAAAACAATTCAAAGTTTTCTCATTAGCACTGGGTGTCGCAGGGCAAAACTCCTACCTACCATTATTAGATCATTACTCATATGACCTACCAGTGCTTCCAAGGATTTGAACCGCTAGTTTAGATGACACTAGTCGTCATACAAGCCCACGGTAAAACTGTTGTCACGAAAACCTAAGGGGTTAATGATGAGCGCATCAAGGACACCCAACAAACTTGCACTCAATATTGCTGAAAATACAGTACTCAACTGAACATAAAAATAAATACGGACATTGAAAGACAAAATGGGGGAAAAATCTTAGGTACAAATCATAACAACAAACTAAAATTGAACATACACATCGATCACCAATCTAAGAAAATATCTAAAAGTGAGCATTCTTTTAGAAATACACTATGTACCTCAAATACCACTGCTCATTCTATACTGTTCTATAGTCTAGCCTTACCTCACTTACGGTAAATCTACATGGGGATCTGTTAGAGCACAGCACCTAAAACCCACTCACTCAACTAAGATCTGCTATATGATCACTTAGTCAAGTTCAAGACAACATGCACTCCCACTATTCAAAATGCTAAATTTTACTTTACATACAAAACATCTGCACTTACTACTGTGCATACTATTTACTCAGGTCACACACTACAAATATTAGCCCAGTGCTAAAACTTTTCTTGGAGAGCTCCAACAAAATGCATGGACATAACACAAGAAGCAAACATCTGTTTGATATCCCATGAATCTGACTCGACTCGAGTATAAACTCCATGTCAATGAAAGGACCATGGACATGGAATTCTCTACCAGAAGATTATGAAAGTTTCACCTCCTGAATCTGATATACAGCAGACCATCATTTAACACGGTAGTTACGTTCCTGAAAATGCCATTTTAGTTAAAACTGTGTTAGACAAACTGAAGAACTCATGGGAGAAATAGGGTTACATTCCTGGGAGCCAACAAAAAGCCAAACAACTTTTTTTAGACCAACAGATCTTACAAAAATAAAAGTGAATATGTAATTGTAGCTCAGTGTCGTGATATATTACTGCTTAAGACTAAAATACAATAGAAATAACAGTATTGCTTACCTTAAATTGTGGGTAATGGTGTTTGTGGACGATTGTGGAGAAAGTGGATATGCACGGTGTGCTCTACTGGGTGAGGTGGATGGTTGTTGGTTGTCGGCAGAAGTGGATGGTAGAGGTTCTGGTACTAAAGTTGATGGCTGTATTGGAGTGTGCATAAATTTTGTAATGGATCTCTGGGCTCTTTTACCCTGCAGTACATTATACAGCTGATGGTAAGGCATCATCAGCTGGTCTAGACCCCGTTTTAAATCACTGTTTCTAGATTTGTCAGGATCCTCTTCAGTGAAAAAGTCTGCTAGCTTAGTAGCAACATGGAACTGCTCACATAACTGCTGCAATGTTAACTGTTTCTCTTCAGGTTCTTCTTCATCTTCTGTTATGTGGCTCCCTTGTATCTGTGCATCGAGCTCTGCCAACATTTCCTCTGGACTCACTGATCCATTGGTTGTATTAGAGATGTTGTATTTGGAGGTAAAAATACAACTTTTACATGTGGGGTCACATCCAACAAAGCTTGTGGATGAGTACAAGAATTATCAAGAATGAAGAGAGCCTTGAATGCAAGGTTCTTCCTGTGCAGGAAAAACTTGACTTCAGGAATAAAGTGATGCTTAAACTTGTCAATAAATATTTCCTCTGTCATCCATGCTGACTGGTTTCACCTCCAAATTACTGGTAAGGTGTTTTTATCTACACCTTTCAAAGCACGAGGATTCTTAGAGCAGTGAATAACCATGGGCTTACACTTGAAATCACCTGATGCATTACCACAAAGGAGCAAGGTGAAACGATCCTTTGCTGTCTTGAAGCCTGGTGCACTTTTCTCTTGCTGACTAATATAAGTTTGTGTTGGCATTTTCTTCCAAAAAACACTTGTCTCGTCAGCATTAAACACTTGATATGGCTCATAGCCACCCTCAAAAATAATTTCCTGCAATTCAGCAGGAAAATTACTTGCTGCTGTATGATCAGCTGAAGCACTTTCACCAGAAAACTTAATATTATGTAACTTATTACACAACTTAAAGTTGTGGAACCAGCCTGTGTTAAACATAAGCACTTTTTCAGGCATTCCTTCCTTATCACACACTGCTTTAAACAACTGCAAGGCCTTTTCCCTAATTAAGATGAAATTAAGTGGTGCAGAGTGTATTCTGCAGGTGACGCATGCTCCAAATTTTTTCCCCTCCCGCAAACTGAACCGTGTTAAGTTAATTTTACAAAGCGTTGTACAAAAATATGGCGCAATTCTTCAATAGTGCTATAACCAAAACATGCCAAACAAAACCATGTTAAATGACAGTCTACCATAAAAGAAAATTTAACACACTGGCCGTCTCCCGTTGAGGTAGGGTGACCCAAAAAAGACACTTTCACCATCATTCACATTATCACTGTCCTACCAGAGGTGCACAGATATGACAGTTCAGATATCCATTCAAAGAGGAAATACCCCAAACCCATATGTGCCTAATGTAAGCTGTATATCTAGAATCAACTCAGGAATGATCCTCATGCACATATTAATATTGCTGTTTTAACATACAGTTTTGTTACTTAAATTATCATTACATTTAATAATCTTACCTTTAAACAACTTAAACCCTTAGCATTCAGATACAGGGGACCCAACTTTAAAGTGCTTTCCTTTATGGTATTTCACTAATGTAGCAGTTTTCAATTATACCCATTTGTCATTTATTCATACTTCCTACAAAATATATATTTACCATTCACTATAAACTAAGGACAAAAAATATTTTAAATAATGTGTGTACTCTGTATGTAATTCTTAGGCTTAGCTCTATTGCTCACTTAATGTATATGATGGTGTAAACATATTATCAGGCTTTTATATGTATTTAAAAGTGAAAAAAAAAAGAAAAAAAAAAAGAGAAAGGGTTATGTTTCACTTTACAGCAGTAGCCCAGAACCTAACCTGCTGTATAAGTAGAGCCTGACCACAGAATTATATAATGTCCAGTAGTTTTTAAGCTCTGGTTCTAGTTGGCCCAAAATGATCTATATCTCCAGCAACTTTTAAGATGTGTGAAATGTTACAAAAGTTGATAAAAATAATGTACATTTTAAAAATAAAACTTGTTTGTTTGTTGAACAAATTAATTCAGAAGTTTGAAGCTGGTACATGTATGCTTGTGATGGTTTAGAAGTTTTGCTTATTGCACATACTAAAACAAGCTGCATAACAGTAAAAGAGCTTCAAAAACTATCTGGAAGGAAAAAATGTGACAGAGAAATTTAAATGTACAAGTTTCCCCTAGCATAATGCAGGTTCAATAATGTGCAAAGTCCCAATTTTATCACTTATTCCATGTGTGAAATATGCATTTGTTGCATGTGATCAACATGATTTGCAAAGGGTATTAAGAAATTCTTATTATGTGAAATTAAGTGTTGATTGCTTGAGTGAGCTTAGTGTAGCTGCCATGAGCCTGGAATGTTTCTACTGCATTAAGCCAGGAACACCAGTATCATGCAACACTTATGACATATCTTGTGTAGGCTGTCTTTCACTTGCACACATTGCATCACTATTTAAATTTACACTCGCTACATTCACTTGTTCAGCAGTCTTGTTATGTTGATCCATAACTGGTTCTCTTTCTAATGCTGTCATTGCTGCTACCTCAAGTTCTTTAGGGCTCATTACATAAATAACTGTTCTGGGCTGCCCTACAAGGCTTTGTCTGTATTTCTTACTTTGCTGTCCACCACTGGATCTCTCCAGCCATGGTGGAACACATCGTGACCTTTGTGCCATCCTACTGTCTTCATGTTCCATTGACTTCACAAAATAACGGCAGGTTAACAGCTAACATTGTCAATTACTATTAATCTAATACAACACATAAAGCTTTTAATCCTCATAACACTAGAGGAGTGTAGTATCAAAAGTGAACGAAACAAATTACAGGGTTCAGGAGTTGAAATTCTATACTAATATAACAGCACACCTTATGTATTCAACCTACAGGTGTTTACAAATTGCATATGATTTAAGTTAAAGTACATGTGAAGTACATACTAAAGTATTATAACTAACACTAACAAAAATATGTAAAACCAACTTGGGACTTTACTCTAGAAATGTGTCACTCTAATTACTTGTCAACATAAGTAATAACATAAAAATGCATTAAATAATTCCAATACAGCTGCATTTAAAGTATCCTTCATTTACATATAAATAAAAATGTAGGCCTATTGCCACATGCATACATAAAATACCCTAGTACTGTATTTGAAACTTATAAATTATATTCTCATATAATTAATCAACAAGAGAAGTAATTGCACTGTGAAAATAGCACAATGAAGAATGTGCATTCTAGATGTTACCATATTCCAGGCTAGATTCCGAAGATGATGGTGACAGCTGGGGATATTGCTCAGGTACTGGGTGAAGGTAAGGGTTAGGACGCCTCACTGGGATTCCATAGTAATCGTCTGTATCCTCTGCTGAAGTGTCTCCACCACCCCAGTCTAACGCAGTGGCTGCACGCTCGTTTATAAGCAATTTGAATTCTTGAATGGACTCATTAAGTGACCATAGCTGGCAAAGGAGTGACATATCCAGCTGACGCAAACCAACCTGCATTGTGGATTAAGGGAGAAATTTCAAGTAATTTATTGTATTTAAGGGTTCTAAGGATAAACAATATTGCAGGTTGAATGTACAGACATACTGCCAACAGGTGTGGGTTTGAGAACATTATGTAGAACAAACTTTTATTGGGACATTTCCTTTTTTGAACTGTAGCCCCTCAAGGAAGGTTCCTTGATGTTGGTGAGGGGCTCTTGATTTAGGGAATTGGATATGTGCTCCAGTTCCCCGAATTAAGCCTGAATGCCTTCCACATCTCCCCCCCCAGGCGCTGTATAATCCTCCGGGTTTAGCGTTTCCCCCTTGATTATAATAATAAAATAAAATTGAACTGCAGCATTGGTACGCCTCTGCCAAGACAGCGATGAAGTGCATGATGATGAAAGTGTTCCTTCTTTTTCAGGTCACCCTACCTCAGTGGGAAATGGCCAATGTGTTCAAAAAAAAAAAAAAAAAAAAAAAAATTGCCCTCCATCTTGAATAAAATGTTGTGCTGTACTGATAAAAGCTTGTTCTGCTTAATGTCTTCATACACAGTATTGAGAGTTTGTGATTTAGAGTGTCAGAAATATGCTACAAATAAAATACACTAAATTTTGATGTCATAAGAAACTTTATGAAGCTACCCCTCAAAATACTCTAGTTACAGAGTGATTTTAAAGCTTGTTTCAAGATGCCTAGTGTTATTCTGGTAACAAATTTCAATTTTAAAGATAATAACAAAAAAATAGAATTAATAAGATAATGATAATGGCTACATAACAGCCTGGTTGATTAGGTCCTGATCCACCACGAGGCCTGGTCACAGACTGGGCTGCGGGGGGGGGGGGGGAGGGGTTGACCCCCAAAACCCTCTCCAGGTATAACCCAGGTATTAACCAAAATAATAAAGTTATTTTTATATAGCTGGACTTGAGTCCTGGAAATGGTAAGTACAATGCCTGCACTCTAAGGAGGGGTTCAGGATATTAGCAGTTTGCAGGGATATGTTGTGTATCTTTATAGGTAGTATATGCTTACAAACTGTTGTGTTCTGAGCACCTCTGCAAAAACAGTGATTATGTGTGAGTGTGGTGAAAGTGTTGAATGATGATGAAAGTATTTTCTTTTTGGGGATTTTCTTTCTTTTTTGGGTCACCCTGCCTCGGTGGGAGACGGCCAACTTGTTAAAAAAAAAAAAAAAATTAAGTATAGCTGCTCAGTATAGTTGGGTGATAATTAATAGTTTACAGTGATTAATATTAAGTGGGTTTTGCATTGGACATCAATTTTAGAAGCAAATTGTTAAAAAACTGGCTGAGTGCACAATAAATATACAACCTTCCTCTCATAAACATATTTGTTTAGCTAATATCTCCTACAATAACAATTAGCACAAGAAATAAATATCTGTGCCTTAATAATAATAATAATAATAATAATAATTTTTATTTCTAGAAGTACATGTACAAGGTATACAGGCCTAGCTGACATCAATGACATACTGCTATATAGAAAGCTTCCTGCTGTGCAGAACATTTCGGGCAAATTAGGTAAATTTTGTCCCAGGATGTGACCCACATCAGTCGACTAACACCCAGGTACCTATTTTACTGCTAGGTGAACATGAACAGAAAGTGTCTTAAGGAAACAAGTCAGAATAATACAGGACCACGTAAAAGTCATCGTGCAAAACAATGAAATCAAAGAAACACGTTTGTTAGGAAAACCAGGAAGTAAACACAGTATAATGATCAGACTTCATTCATACGATAAAAGAAAGGACCTAATTAAATCAGCAATTACAATGAAAAATGGAGTGTACATAAATGAGTGTCTAACAAGAAAACGTCAAAACCTTCTGTTCAGGCTGAGAAAACTTAAACAGGAAAACAAAATACATCAGTGTTTCACGCGAGATGGGAAAATACTAGTAAGGAAAACATCAGCTGGACAACAATATACTATCTCAAACGAAGACGATTTCTCTACCTTCCTTAGAAAAGCTGTCATTTCTGTAACAGATTAGATAAGTGCCCTTAATACATATATACGTGTGGTGCATATAGTGTACCTTACTATTATATTGTGCATTATTATTTTTATTATTTTTTTTCATCACAAGCTAATGCTAACTACCTCCAATACTTTTTTACTTCTTTCTTACTGCTATTAATTGCTCATAATTTTATGTTACAAGTCAAATCTTACTCCAAATTAATATTATTCATTGTTCTTACCTGTCCATTTAATTTTGTTTACCACTACTTGTTTTTTTAGTCACTTTTTATTGTGTGTGCAATTAGTGTATATTCCAATTACTTTTATGCAAGTACCAAAACTATCTTTTGCTAGCTAGTACCAACTACCTCATTTTTTTTTTTTTTTTTTTTTATTTTTTATTGTGCAATAAACTGCTCAACTTATTTAATATTACAAATCAGATCTTACTCCTAAACCAATATTATTTCATAGTGACTATCTGTCCATTTAACTTGTTTACCATTACTTAATTGTAGTCCCTTATATATTTTTTTTTTCCTTTATTTTAGCTTTATATAACTACCTTAGCTCATATATTCACAATTGTTAAAATAATCAAGGTGCTATTCTCAGGTGCTAAAGTTAATAAGTTCATTATTTTGCCATTATACTCCAAAGTTCATTTATTTGATTACCACTTTATTGTTCACCACAACTTATATTAGTCCCTTTTATATTATAATTTTATATTATAATTCTAACTTTAAAGAATTACCTTTAAAGTACAACCTACTATCATATTCCCAAGCTCCATTATTTGATCATCACTTTATTTGTTCACCACAAATTATTTTAGTCCCTTTTATATTGTCTCCTTTATTTTAGCTTTAAAAAACTACCTTAGCTCATTATTTTTACTTTTGTTAAATAATTCAGGTGCTATTTTTTTTTTAGCTTTAGAATATTTACTTTATTTTTTACTTAATTCTAACTATAGATTCACTACAAATCTTATGATTACAAGCATTGATCCTGATACCAACCTCTTATTTAATGACTTAAATGATTCAAACAGTTACTGTAATTACTACACAGCAGAACAATCAAAGGCACTTCTCAGAGCCAACAACAACATAACTATCTTTAACTACAATATCAGATCTTTAAGCAAGCATTATGATGACCTCCTAGCATTACTAAATTCCTTGCATGCCAATATGTCCATCATTACACTAACTGAAACCTGGCTAAAGCCTGATACTACAGATGTCTATGCCATTCCTGGTTACACAGCCATACACAACTGTAGGCCAGACCAACAAGGGGGGTGGCACTGCTATATACTACTCAGACCAACTAGAATGTATCACTAATACTTGCACAAGGGATGAACATGGGGAATATATAATAGCTAAATTCAAATCCTAATACCTACAAAAACCTCTCACAGTGATAAACATCTACAGAGTTCCACAATCAAACATTAGCCAATTTAGTCAAAACCTAGGAAGTATGATAATTGATGCCCGCATGAACAAAGATCACTTACTACTCTCAGGTGACTTCAATATAAATCTCCTGCAAGACCAGGACCCACACGTTACTGAATTCAAAAACACAATGAGTAACTGCATGTTGCTACCAACAGTAACAAAACCTACAAGAGTTACAGAGACTAGTGTTTCCCTACTTGACCACATCTGGACCAACACCATATCCCCTTTAAAATCAGGCATAATTACAGATAATACCACAAACCACTACTCTACTTTCCTCATAACAACTCTTGGTAAAATACCCCAAGACACTACTAAAGTCACCTTCAGACTTCACAATGAGGCAGCCATTAATAACTTCACAACAGCAGTAACAAACATTGACTGGCACACTGAGCTAGAAATCTATACAGATATTGACGAATGTTTTAATAATTTTCTAAAAAAGACCCAATACCTTTATAACAAGCACTGCCCTAAAAAAACTAAACAGATGACAGCTAAGAGACTGAACAGTCCCTGGCTAACACCCAGCATTCTCAAATCCATAATACAAAACACCGATATGAAAAACAGTACAGAATGGGTCACATAACCAGAGACCAAACAAAACGTTACTCGTCAATCCTAACCAGCCTGATAAGAAGGGCAAAAAAATTGTATTATGAGAACAGATTATCCAACTTACGAGGTGATATAAAAAAGACCTGGAAGACCCTATCAGAAATTCTGGGAACAAAAAAGATATCACGACATAGAGAAATAAAATTAGCAAAATCAGATGAACCCCAACTCCCACCAACAGAAACAGCAAACAGACTCAATGATTTCTTCTCCACTATAGGTCAAAACCTTGCCAATAAAATCCCAAGCTCAGATACCCCACCAAATGACTACCTCACTGGCAACTACCCGAACACACTGTTCCTAGCTCCGACTAACCCATACGAAGTCTCCCTTATTATCAACGCACTGAAAAACAAGGCAGGAGATTTAAATACCTTACCACCCTTTATATACAAAAAAGGGTCACAAGTACTATCACCAATCATTGCAACACTCTTTAACAAATCCATTGAATCCTCCACCTTCCCTACAGTTCTCAAAATAGCAAGGGTCACCCCGATCCATGAAGGAGGAGACCAAACAGAGTTGAATAACTATAGGCCAATATCCAATTTACACCCTCTCTCAAAAATCTTCGAAAAATTAATTCATAAACAAATCTACTCCTACCTCATCTCCCAAAACATTCTCAACCCCTGCCAATTTGGATTCAGGCCTAATAAAAATACTAATGATGCTATTATACACATGCTAGAACATATATACAATGCAATAGAGAAAAAAGAAGTCCCACTGGGGATCTTCATTGACTTACGTAAAGCTTTTGATACAGTTGACCATGACTTGCTCCACGTAAAATTGTCACACTATGGTATTAGAGGGCACTCCCTCAACTACCTCAAGTCTTACCTCAGCAACAGAAGCCAATATGTGTACGCAAATGGGGCAAGCTCTTCCGCACAA